AAAATGAATGAATTTATGAGTAATATTTAAACAATGGATCAACGTAAAGCTATATTTACACATAATTAACGAAAAACTTAAAAAAAATCAAATATTTAACAAACAAACAAACAAACAAAAATTTTTGTTTTTTTTTTTTCTTTGGTTAGACATCCAGGACATCATCGCAAATGGAGAATCTAATATACTTTGTTTTTTTGGTTATGACACGTCAAGATTAAAATCGGGATACTCAAAGATCTAGTGTCCAACTCAAATTATCTATAATTTTCATTTGTTTATTTTATTTCGTCCTGACCCCTAAACATTCTAAACATATTAATATTAAGGGGTTACATGGGTGTGGGACTTTCAAAAAAATTTTTGTTTTCAATTCTACAACTCATCTAGAATATTGTATTGAATTTTGAAGTCGATAGAAGTAGTAGTTTTAAAGATAGAGCCTTGAGAAGCACTCAAATCTTTAAACGCGTTTTTCTCAAAACGCTTTTTCTAAAGTGGTTGTCAAGATTTCTCGAAAACTATTTAACCGATTTTCATGAAATTTGCTACACGTCTTCTTGATACTATTGACAAGGATTTGGAAGAAGGATTTTCGTTTTTTTCATAAAATCGAATTTTAAGAAACCAAAATGTGGTGAAAATTGTAGCGAAATTTGAATGTTCTTGCTAAAAACGTTGCCAAAAATCCAAATTTCTATTTTTTTCTTTTTCCTTCGTCCAGTTTCTAGTTTTAAGTATTCACTAAAAGAGCCTATTTTTTCAACAGAAAAACCCCCACCATTTATAAGTTCTGCTRTCAACGCGAAAACACTTTTTTTCGGTGGGGTCACCGGAAATGACGTCGCAATGGCTGAGTTTAAAATATTTTTTAACCAAAAATTCAAAAAATGTTCTTTAAATATGTATCTTAAATACTATAAAAAGTTTGAATAAGAATTCCATTTTTTATATAGAAAAAAAAATTGTTGAAAATATGCTATTTTTTCCCGGTGTAAACCCATGTAACCCCTTAACGAATATAATTTAATTTTCGCCAGAATTACAATTTAAATATCAAATTGTATGAAAATTTTACGCATTACGGATATAGCCGTGAAAACACAAAATTCTGCCATTCTTCCATGACGGATATAGTCGTCAACACACACTTAACTGGTTAATCAACGACTCGTTGTTATCTTTTAAATAATCATTCTCCACTCTTTTGTGATCATTTTTCTCCCACCAAAAATCTAAATTTAAATCGGACGACGACGAGTACACAAATCAAACACAATCAATTGTATAAAAAGATATTATAAATATAAAAAAGTATAACAAAATAATTTTACCAACTAATCGTAGATAGATCTACTACTCGTGAGAGAACGAACGAAATCAAATTATCGATCAGGGCACGGATAGAAGAAAATCAACATAAATTTCTTACGGGGTTGGGGGGTGGGCAGAGTTTTTGTTTTTTTTCAATATTCTTATTTAACATTTCCCCGAGGTTGGTCGAAGGATCAAACACACACACACACACGTTTTAAAGAGAAACAAGAAGAAGAAAAAAAAAAAAGAAAAAAAAGTAACAAAAGACCTATAATACGAAGGATTATTACGATTGGTCAGCGTAATCGTCATAGTCATCATCGGTCGTCGTATTTGTGTTAAAATACGCAGCACAAAGAGAGAGGTTCGTTATGATGTTTAATTATTAATAATAATAATGAAATGATGAACAAACAAAAAATTAAAAAAGAAGAAACAAAAGAGAAAAGAAAATGTATTTGGATAAAAAAACAATTGGTTGTTGTTCGTTGGAACACGTACCCGTCTGCGAATGAGGTGAATCCATTCCACGATGACCATCCTCTGGTCTGAGAACTGGGGAAAATGTTGCCGCACTCGAAACCGAGACAGTTGGGGCTTTTTCAGTCTTGTCGTTTCTAATCAGCTGGTGTACCGGTGGTGGACCTGCACAAATATAATCAATAATTTAAAAAGATTAAAATGATAGGAATTTTTAAATTTTAACCATAATAAATAATAGAGGACACCTTACACTGAAGATATCTAGGCTAACAAACACTAGTCTAGATTGAAACAATTTTGTTGAGGGTTTCAAATTGTAACGA